TGCTCACGTTCATTCGCGTTGAATCATCTTCGTTTAAGAATAGCACACTCTGTATCAGCTCACATCTTCTATTTAAGGGTACGCGACATAGTATTTTATTCTGGCATATAATTTCTTATCTTTAGTCATTCTTATGGCATCGATAATTTATTATTTTGCCCACTATAAAGTCAATTTGGTCTTCACCTAAGTGTCGACTTCAGAGTTAAGCGTTTATATATAGAACATCTTCGAGAACAGAATCGTTACCATTCTGCATCATGTATCAAAACGTGACAGAAATACTGTACTTTTAACTGTTAAATACTTTTTACAAATTGGCTGTTGATATGTAAACAGCCATGTGTAACAGCACATGTCGAAAGATTTCACTAATTAATGTTTTGCCTTACTGATGATCCAACTTTTACATCTGCAGCTTACAACCGATTCGATAAGAAATTTCGATGGAAGGACCAGGGCCACCGTCCGGTATGTATTATTTTCCAATAAAAGCCATAATGGCATCAGATACAGAATCCATTCAGGCATTCGTTTACTTCTCAGCCAGATTCCTCGCATGCTCAGCCAGTTTGGTCAACTCCTCGCTCTGCCGACCAAAATGCTCAGAGGCCTCCTTGGCGGCAGTCCACGCTTCCAGGGCCTGATTTTCCAGGTAGCTTTTTACGCTGACGAACTTCGTGTACGCCATCTCTGAAACGGAGAAAGAGTGCGATTGTGAGATCTCAGACGTAGCGGTAGATGACGAGCAAACCTTTGATATTTTCCCAATTCAACATCGTCTGCTTCGAGCTTTCCAGCGTCTTGTTTAACTCGGCCAACATCTGCACGACGGATGACAGAGTCTCATTGGCGGTGGCGATATCAGCTCGCAGTTCCGGTAGTTGTTGCATCATCGGACTGTCAGCTTAAGAGAAAAACACATGATCAACACAACTCCTTTACCTGAAATAGGAGGCAGTGATACTTACTTAACTTTTCCTTGACGTCTGCTTCGAGCCGAACCATAAGTTCCTTGAGAAACTTCAGTTTACTGTCAAAATTAGTGTCATTTACGACTAGGGGGTTTTCGACCAATTCGTTCAGCAAAGATCTTAGCCGTTTCAGCTCTGCACGGTGTTCGTGAGCGTGCTTCTGGATCAGTTTGTAACAAGGCGGACATTCGATACAGCCCGCCTGTAGATTATACATGTTTTCCTCGCATCGATCGCACTGCCGGCCTTCGACGTTCGGCCGACATGTACACTGACCAGTGGCCACGTCGCACTGCAAGTCAGTGGACCCTGTGGGGAAACACTGACAGGAATCACATCCTAAAATAAAATTTGTAAAAGTTTAGTTGACGTTGAAAAAATGACAAGGTACCTTTGGGGCTGAACCCAAAATGGCGCGGAGCGCACTGGTCACAACGTAAGCCCACTACCCCCGGTTTGCAAATACACTGACCCGTCATTACATCGCAGGTAGTGTTGGTTGAGCCAAGCGGGTCGCAGTTACACATTTGGCAGCCGTTGCCTGATGAGATATTGAAATAACCTGGTTCACACCTGTCACACCGAAGACCGACGACGTGCTTTAAGCAAGAGCACTGACCGCTACTCTGCTCGCACTCAGCGATCGCGGCACCGCTGTCGACCGTCTTTTGAGTACCTGGTGGGAAACACTTGCACGCTAAAAATAACAGCTGTGAACAAGTTCATGACTTCGTTGCCCATAACTCACGTTTACAGTCTCCCTTAGGCTCAAGCAGGGCGTCGCCGTAAAATCCGGGAAGGCACTTCTCGCAGTGAAAACCATAAGTATTGTAGACACATTTCTTGCATTCGCCAGTCAACCTAAAATACAGCGGTTTTTAATTGACAAAAAAAATCATGAGAAAGTTT